TGCTTGGGGGTTGAAGGGGAAAAGGTTGGTATGAGGACTGGCATGTCCCCCATCATTATACATAGACCTAGAGCCGGTTGGAAACATGATATTGTACCAACGTTGTTACGAGTCAATGCTGCTCTACTACCTAAATCTCAAACCCTACATGCAGCCCAACAAGAACATAAAGATTTTTAGTAAGTTTAACACACCCGGACCTCGATTACAGATTGTACATCTCAAAATGCACAATTTGTAGACATTGCGAGGCTAACAAAAGAGCAGCTTGCGTTGTTTTCGCGCTAGCTCCGATCCTCGGCGGGGTTTTCTGCCCCTCCACAGATCCCACCATACCTTTTTTCTCCACCCGCGCAGCCGCCGTACAAAGCCCACAGCTACTCCGCGTCAATTCCCACATCAATAGAAGTTCCTCGATCGGATAGAGGCTGTTGCCTTCGACACTGCAGCGCACACGAAAACTCCAACGAGACGGGAAAAATTCTGAAGGTATACCTGTTCTGTTTATGCTTATATCTAACTTTACACATTGCTTCAAAGGAGTTCTCTGTCCAGGCACCTGTCCTATACTTTATCTACATTCAACGTCTTCTTTACGTCCTATCTCCTCTGCCTTCTCCCTTCACCTTCACCTTCACCTTCACCTTTCCAACCCCACTAACCCTCCAAAGCCACAACCATGTCTGCAAACGATACATACCAAGATCCGCTGAACTCGCGCTACTCCAGCGCCGAGATGAAGTACCTCTTCAGCCCGCGCAACCGCTTCAGCACCTGGCGCCAGCTCTGGATCTGGCTGGCTGAGGCCGAGAAAGAGCTCGGGCTGGACATCAGCGACGAGGCTATCAAGCAGATGAAAGAGCATCAGGTGATTCAAGATGAGGAGTTCCAGGTCGCGGCTGAGGAAGAGAAGAAAAGGCGGCACGATGTCATGGCGCATGTGCATACGTTTGGGTTGGGGGCGCCGGCTGCGGCGGGCATCATCCATTGGGGTGCTACGAGTTGCTATTGTACTGATAATGCGGATCTGGTAAGCCCTAGGACAAGATTCATATGGCACTTGAGCTAACGCCAACTAGATCTTCCTCCGAGATGGGCTGGATATCCTACTACCCAAGTTGGGTACCGTTATCGAGAAGCTCTCTGGTTTCGCTAAGGAGTACAAAAGTCTTCCATGTCTGGCATACACTCATCTTCAACCGGCGCAGCTGACGACTGTGGGGAAGCGGGCGTGCTTGTGGATCCAGGATCTGTTGATGGATTTGCGAAACCTAGAACGAGCTCGAGAGGATCTGAGGTTCAGAGGCGTGAAAGGAACGACAGGCACACAGGTACCGAGACTGTAGCGTCTGCGACTCTAGGCTAACCCTATGACAGGCTTCCTTCCTACAGATATTTGACGGAGATCATTCCAAGGTAGAGCAGCTCGATGAGCTCGTCACACAAAAGGCTGGCTTCGGATCTGCATACATCATCTCCAGCCAAACCTATCCTCGCAAGATTGATGCCGATGTTTTGAACGCTCTCAGTTCGTTTGGCGCTACCTGCGAGCATATTGGCCAAGCCATGCGTCTTCTAGCCTCATTCAAGGAGCTCGAGGAGCCCTTCGAGTCCACTCAGATCGGATCGTCCGCCATGGCCTACAAGCGCAACCCGATGCGCAGTGAACGTCTCTGTTCGCTCGGTCGCAAATTGCGAAACCTAAACGCCGACGCCTCAGCAACTTACGCTGCACAATGGATGGAACGTACACTTGACGACAGCGCCATCCGCCGTATGTGCCTCCCCCAGTCCTTCCTCTGTGCCGACGCCTCCCTGATCCTTCTCAACAACATCGCATCCGGCCTCGTCGTCTACCCAGCCGTCATCAAGAAGCGCGTAGACGCCGAGCTTCCGTTCATGGCCACCGAGAACATCATCATGGCGCTTGTGAAGAAAGGTGTCTCGCGTCAAGATGCGCACGAGGAGATACGAGTACTTAGTCATCAAGCTGGAGCGGAGGTCAAGCAGCACGGCAGGGACAACGATCTTATCGAGAGGATCAACAGGACGGACTTCTTCAAACCGATCGTTGGCGACCTCGAAGAGTTGATGAAGCCAGAGACGTTCACTGGACGGGCGCCGCAGCAGGTGGACGCGTTCTACGAGAGGGAGGTCACAAAGGCGCTGAAAAAGTACTATGATGCGGGTAGTCTGAAGCTGCAGGAGACTGCTGAGTTGAAGGTGTGAACGCGGGGTGGATGAGGGGGGAGAACAAGTAACGGTGCGATGCACATTTACTTGCCGTACAGTCCACGTCGCTGATATGTCGAATAATGTATTCTCGCATGTGTAAGCTGGCAAAAGTCGTGATTCAAGTGCTCCAGGTCGATTCTATGACCTGTCGCTTCATACCCCGCCCACCCGGTCACTCTTCTTTCTCCGCTCCTCTTGCATATACAATGGCTATCACCTCTACTTTCCTGTCGTCCGTGGATATTTTCTCAAGCTTCCTTTTACCTGCATTCCATAAACTGTGCAGCTCGAACGAACACGTGTTTTCGTGTCGCGGCGTGCTTTCCTTTTAGGCATCAACCACTAGCGCCTCATACCTGGTCGCTTCCCCGTCAATCCCTCGCATCTCAACAATCGAACGTACACGGTCTTTCACTCAGCACTCCTCCCATCTCACCTTCCATCTCGTACACATCAAGACTATGCCTCGCGCTAAGAAAGCCGCCGCTATTGTCATCTCGTCTGATGCTGAGGAAGCGGTCGAGGTCCAACCGAAACGCTCCTCTCGCAAGAGGAAGCAGGTGAACTATGCGGAGCCGGCGCTAGAGGATGAAGATTGGAAAGAGGCGCCGAAACAGAAGGTTAAGCAACAGACTCAGACTCAGACTCAGACTCGAGCCGCCGAAGCTGCACCGCTCGCTGTCGAGGACCCCCCGCCCAGGGCACGGCCTACGAAGAAGCGACGCAAAGCTCTGGACTCTGAGATTGAGTATGATGAAGATGGGCAGGAGATTCGGAAGCGAGAGTAAGTATTACCACCCGGAGACCGATCTACTGAGTGTTCTCCCATGAATCCGCGTAATGTTATGTGCTAACATAAGCTAATGTGTTCGATAGATGGGTGGATGAGCCGTCTGTCAAATTCTTGGGGAATAAGGATCGCGCCTTGTCTCATCCAATCCGCTTCTTAGAGAGGATCCGATGCGACACCGAAGTTCCACAGGAAAAGTTTGTGATCATGGGCACCGAAGGTCACAACTACACGGTTGACATCACACTCGTGTCAAGATGCGCGTGCATGGATTGGAGAATGCGAAGGATTCCATGCAAGCATATCATCTACGTGAGTTATCCCTATTCCTCACCTAAAATACTACCCCATCAGGTCTAGCATACTAAGCTGACTTTGATAGACCCTCATCAATGTTCTGGGCCTCTCGGAAGATTCCGAACTCCTCTACCAGCCTGCATATACCTCCTCAGAGCTTCGTGGAATATTTGACCAGGCGCCCCCGGATCCGCGTACAAATGTCGAGATCGTCCAGGATCCCAAGCGCCGGCCCATCGAGGGAGAATGCCCGATCTGTTACACCTCGTTCGAACCAGGCGCAGAAGCCATCGTCTACTGCAAAGGAGACATTGGATGCGGCAACAATATCCACGGTGCTTGCATGGCTAGCTGGCTCAGGGCTCAACGTGGGTCTTACCACAAAGGCACTTGTCCTCTCTGTCGCAAGGACTGGGTCGACTAGTTCTGATCCAAGGGGACTTTCACAAATTCTACTCGGACTCGGATTACTGTGTATGCAGGTTTCGTGAGGGTTCGGTAAGCACCCTCATTCATTTTTCTTCGAGTAGGCACAACTCTAGGAGGATTTGGCAGACCCATGGAGTGGCCGTATTCTCATCCGCTGCACTGTCCTCTAGAGAGAGTTTGTTGCTAACTTCATATCCTTTCAGAGCAACTCCTGCATTCATTATTAACCAGCAGCAAGCACTGAGAACGACGACAGGTATCTCATCAAGAAGATATGTGGGCTCCATGTCATGTTATTGATGCACTTTACTGTGTTCCTACACATTTGCTCGATCATTTCAGCCGTGTCCTTTCACATGTTCACGACATGCCTTTCAACTTATTACGATAATGAGAACCGGTTCAGTATGCTATGGCGAGCTAACTACCGGCTTAATCTACGACTGGAGTACTACTCGGGGTTTCTTAAGCCATACGAATGATGTCCGACTGGCGTTAGTATCTGCTACCGGCAAAAGGAGTGCGAGGAGAAAAGGATTGAGCTTATGGTATTACGATTTATGTCAATTTAATTCAGCGAATTTCACAATGCACTGTTCTTCGATGCTAGATAGCAGTAGTAGCTTGCTATCTGTGTTCATTTGTCGGTGACACGTTCGATTGAACCACAGCTTATAGAAGGGTTTGATACTCAAAGGGATATAGCTCCCTCAGCACAGGAGAACTGACTTTATATTGTGGATGGGCGAACGAAGCTCTTAGCACTGTTTAACGGGTACGTTGATGCATATTGCGCTATCGCTTTGTGGGTTTCTTTGGCTAGTGATATGGAGTAGTCGTTTGCAGGAAGCATTAGACAGACTTTAGAGTCCTCGATCTCCAGGTCTTTGAGCGTTACTCGGCCCACTTCCTTTATTGGGTGCATACTTCGATCTTGTCACCTGCGTGTAATAGTTAGTGTATAAAATAGAACCGCTGCTAGGAATGTACGAATATGTTCTGCGCCTGCCACTCACAGGCTAGTTACTTACAATTGCTCTGACCCTACTGTTTATTATGTATTCCTGTAGAGTAGACAGACGTCTGTGAGGTGCAAAATATCTTGAGCTGAGCCCTCGCTTACGCCAAACTACCAGGTCACCCCCAAAAATATCATGGCCACACAACTCAACGTCCACGGACCGCACACAACCCCACAGAATAGCAAAAAGAGAGTGAATAGAGCGCAACCAAATTAGCAAAAAGCAAAGGGCCTGGCCGGGATTCGAACCCGGGGCCTGTCACATGTAGACTCTTCCGAGTCCAGGCGTAGTATACCCGAAGCGACAATCATACCACTAGACCACCAGGCCGGTTGTCCATCCTCATCAATGGAATTATTAGGGAATTTTTCAATTGCATCGTACATATACTACGAGGCTAAATCGAAAAACGCGGGGAGGTGAGTCGTCCAAGTTGTGCTGACATGATGGCTCCACTAATCTAACTTTGGGTGCGCCGGGCTAGTTTTACACACGTGCATCCCAGACCCCAGATTTCCAGTGCACACATCATATTACAAGTGCTCTCTATCGTCTTATCTCGCACTCTAGTTTAGCAAACACATCATGACGTCTAGACACTCTATTCCCTTATCTCGCAAACATGCAGCCATCCTGACTCCGTACACTTCACTCCAGCAATTACGCAAGGCATGCATCGGAACGCTCGGAGAGCCGATGCCAGCCCCCTAAGCACAACACTGCACAAAGCCGTCGGGCATCCGGTATCGCGCACACCCTCCATGCACAAGTTCATCCGGATCGGGTCCCCCTGGGCGTGCGCTCAACAGAAACCTGGCACACACCGACTGCATTGTGGAACCGCTATTGCGAGAGTCAGCCCACCACCAACAGACCAGCGTACTGTGCTACATGTGAACAAGGAATATAGACGTTGAGACGCGCTGATACACGTTGTGTGCATGCTTGTGTGCTGATCCATTTGTCCAGGTGTGTGTGAGTATTAAAGTGCGGGGAAGGGCAGCGCGACTATTGGTGCGGGCCAGGCCGTAGCCCTGATCAAGCTCCAACGCAGCGTGTGGAGGGCCCGAGCTCCCTGAACGATGCAGTGCAGGTGGACCGCGCGGACGACACCACTCCATGCACAACTCTCCCAGGCCAGACCCGCCCAGTGGCTCCGTTACCGAGAGTCGTAATTATTTACTCATAGAAGTAGGACTTGGCCAAGTGCTAGATGAATACACTCCGCGCCATACCCGATAGACGTAGACTCGGCGCTTGCCTGATTGACCGCCATTCCGAGTCAATCGCACCTACCTGGGCAGTCACTCCACGACATTCCACGGTACCCCTCGAACTTCACCAGGAGATCCGTCATCACCTTGATACCGCTACTAATCGCTCTTCTGCTGTTTCCTGTCCTTCTTCGCTCAATCCTCGCTGTTCCGCTTCCGCTATACATTCTTCTACACCTAATAATCAACCATGCAAGCGTCCCGAGCCTCCTCTCGCGTCCTCAAGGCCGTGGCTGCTAGCACCAAGCAGACACGCAGCCTCCACATGACCGGCCCAGCAACATTCTCCTCGCTCCTAACCTCAGAACGACCGGCATTGAACCCCCCCCGCGATATCGAGGGCCTCCGCGTTGAGTGCCAGAAGCGCAAGCTCCCCACTGCTGGCACACGGGACGAGGTACGGAGAACCCCTTGAAAATTACCATTTCCGAGTTCAACAACTGACATCGTTCGCCAACAGCTCATGAACCGCCTCTCCGCCCACGAACTCACTAGCGCTCGCTCCTTCAGCACCCTCGTCAGGGACTTAAAACGGCCGGTCCCTGCTGCCACTGATATCTCAAAACCAGCCCGCCACTTCAACACAAGCCGCAGCCTGAAAGCCGTGCGCGACAGCTCCACAATCGACTTCGCCTACCTCCCCGACTACGATCCGGATGCCGGCTCCGCGCCCATTCTCCGCGTGCCCATCCTCCCACAAACCAGACCCTCTGAGGCTACAAAGGCGGTCAATGCCGTGGCCAATGAGCCAGAGGTAAGCATGGACATGTCACGTCAGACTTTTAAACAGGTTCTGACGGGCGATGGTCTAGGTCGTATACCCGAACATCCTGACCGTCGCCGCTGACGGCACGCACATCCACGCGCCGTCCACTATGGCCGATGTGTCTGACAACAACGCAATTGACTTCCAGGGCATGGCTGCTCGAGTTGCCAATACCATCAGCAAGCCCGTGGGAGAGACCGCTAGCATGGCTGGCCAGATCTGGGGCGGTTTAGTCGATGATGTCCTGGGCCCCAAGTCCCAGAGGCAGGCCTGAATATCGCTCACATGAACACGTTATCAATTGCTCTTCGCATGGATATGCAAGAAGCAATGGGGAATACAACTGCAAGCAAGGGAGAGCAGGACAGCGCGTTCGGAGTAACGTCTGGAGTAAAACATGGCAACAAAGCGAACACGGCACTGTTCGCTGGGTTCAGGGTTTTACTGTTTTCCATAGGGGCTTTTAACGGTCTAGTCCGGCTTGAAGTGTTCGAGCTCATGAGACACGAATTCTATTCTATTTCAGCTGGTCCTGCCAGCTCACTTTCTCATTCGGAGTCTTGTGCACAACTTTAAAATCCTGGACTATCCGGTAGCGTGTATAAACTTGCAATATCGAAGGTTATCTCGGGCTCTAATGAAGCTTCTGCAATCACTCCTGTGTGCTGCATCCTGCCAATTGGATGACAGGTATGCCTCATTAGTGTTCAGCAAATATTGCAAGTGTTCACGTTATTGTATCATATGCATAGGCTCGGAAAATCACTGACTGTTCAATTTTTTTTCTAACTTCCAAGCAGTTTTGGATCTGGCAACTGATGATATTTGTCGAGTCTGTCGACCAAAAGACACTTTTATTTATTACTACGCTTTGAGTAATGAATTCCATCTTCGTGGACACTCCGCTGTCATCAAGTGGCGTTGCGCTTGGCCGGTAGCCGTGGGTGAACGCTCATGGTCCATAGCCAACTCGTGCTTGCGGTGCCGTTCTGCCAACTTCACTTCGTTATGTCAACGAGCACCACCAACACTCCCACAATGAGGCCAATCCGCCCGTGGCAAAAGCCGCGCAAACCTTTTACCTTGTATCACGCCCCAACCCAGTCGAGTATTCTTCCATCGATGCATTTCCCGTCTGTCATCCGGCTCCGCCCTCAGGCGCCAGATCCCAGTCCGGAAAGTAATGCCTATAGGCTTCTCGGAACCCACGATGCTTGTCGAGCACTGCAGCGTTATTGGCAAACATCTTCAAGTACTCTGGATCAGTTTGCATGATGTCCTCGAATCTGCGGCCTGCGTATTTTGACTGCTGGCCCTTTTTCTTGTCCCAGAAGACAAAGTCTCGTGGATGGCGGCCTGGCGCGTAGCGGCGGGGCGTAGAGGTTGGCTGATTGAAGATGGGAAATAGAGCTCGAGGCTGTGAGGATCGCGTGTCGGTGCGGGTGCGGGTGCGGGTGCGGGTGACGGGCGGGGGACTTGAGCTCTGGATTTCTCCGTCAGATGATGAGGCGGTTGCTTCAGAAATGTGGGATCTGGAGTCGTCTGTCTCCAATGCCTCGCCGTCCCAGTCCTGCTGTTGCCGTTGCTCGCAGTCCTGTCGACGCTCGAATTCTTGTTGTAAGCTCTCCTTTAGACCTAGATGCCTTGATGTAACGTCTTTGTTGTTTCTCAACATCCTTAAATAGGTGTCTTCTATCATGGGATTGCAGACCGTGTATCCGTTATATTTGCCGAAGCCAAACCGATAACACGAACACGACCGCGGATCGTGGGATATGCGGGATCCAGAACCGGAGGCATAATCGGATGATTCGGTCTTCCTTCTCTTAGAACGCGATTGATGGTGGGCCATAGGCGGCGATTCTTCGCGATAGCGGGTTTGCCTGTCGTTGTTGATGCGCTCATGAGTAGGCTTTGGAATTGGCCAGGTGTTCGATGGGCCAGCAGCTGCTGGCGACTCTTCGACTTCGAACGAGACGAATCCATCCTGCCGCTGGAATCCATCGACGCTTGACTGAGGGTGGCTCGCTTGTACAGTGGTGGACTCGATCTGAGTATCCTGAGTTGTTGGACGTTCAGCAGGCCTGAGTGTCGGATCTCCAGCGATATCTTCCACCATACCTCCTGGCTCGATTACATCTCCTGGCTCAAAGCGCTTTAGTCCTTGCCGATTCTGGGTCTTGACCACGTCGTCCGGTTTAAGGTCGTGGTTCTCGACGACTCCTAGCCAATCCATAAAGGCCGAAATCTCTGCCTCGGATCGAGGGCGCGCTGGTGCGGGTTGGGGTTGCGGCCTTCTCTTGTGTGAAGGTCGCGTGTGCTTCGACCGCCATGAGTCTGGTTGTGCTCTGCCCCCAGTGAAATTTGTCGGACGCGGCCCCTTATTCCTCTTCCCCGATGGCAGGGGGTTGTATGATCGCTGGGGCGGCATGCTGTCTTGTCAGTCGCGGGATAATGGGACGAGCGAAGGACGGGTGCAGAAGGGCGGCATGGGCGCGTCAAATCGGTCGAGGTACAGGTTCGAGTTACGCAAGGAGCTCGGGGATCACGTGGCTTCCCACCCCACCTTGCCGAGACGCGACGCGACGCGCAAACGTTGTTCCAAGATATGCGCAACAATTCCACTGTATCTCTTATGCTACCTACTTCCCGCCTCGTAATATTCCCATCCCCATCCTGTGCCGGATCGGGCAACGGAGTGTTGGCACGGCAGCCACAGCGGCTATGCAGCCGGTGATATGGCTGGCACTGGGCAGACCTGCTTTTCGCCCCCAACCACGCATCCTGATTAACAGCTGTTTCAACAGCCTGAGCCAGTGGAATACGGAAACGGAGCTTATGGCTCGGCATGACCTTCCTGGGGCTTTTGCTCAGCTCTAACCTATAAGTCAAATGCGCATCCGGGAAACATGTTGCAAGTATCAACCTACTCCTACTTTGCGGCTATGATATCAGCCTCGTCCACCGATATCTTCGCGTAAACTCGACCGCAGCTGACCCTCGCCCTGAAAGGTACCGTGAGCCACCAGCTCTTTGCGCCCGTGGTCGTGTGAAAATCATTTATTGGGGTATCATTACTAGATCTCTTCGAAGTGTTCACTATGGCTAGCGTCAACGACGACAATGTGGGCGACTTCACGAATGACTTGGCTTCGGACATCGGACCTCTGCTGGCACTGTTCGGCGAGAACATGACCATACAGTATCTCAGCGAGAGTACAACGTTCCTTGACTACTTCATATTTGCCTTGGCGCCTATTGGAATCATCACCGCAGTCGTTTCCACGATA